TTGGGAGAAAGGCCAGGTGAGCCTCCTTCCGGCTGAGCTGTGCAGGGACAGCACTRGATGGTGCAGTCACACCAGGGCAGCCACTGCACACCCCAAACAGCATCCCCCTGGCAGCATCCCCAAACCCAGAGCTACACTGGACAGCCAAAGGACAGGGTGGAAGGGACTCTGGCAGTCCTGTCCTGCAGCAGGCTGGTCCCGGAGAGCAGAGCCCTGAGCCGCAGAGCACTCAAAGGTTAACACACCCTGAAGATGATAGGGGTAGGATCTCAAGGGGAAATACGCCTCGAGAGATGCTTTGTGTCCCCCACGCTCTGCCAGCAGCAGCGCTGCCCGGAGAGACCATGAGCTGATAAGCAGGTGGCAGAGAAATTTCAGCGCAGCGGAAACACCGGCCCTTCCCTGCACACCATGTTCCAGCTGCGCCGGGGAAGTGCAAGGCCAAGGAGAAACAATTGTTTGAGCTTCAGTGCAGCTGCTGAAGTTCCCTGTCCCCAGGTTCAGAGAGGGGACAGAGCCTGAGCGTGTCCTGCCAGAGGGAGGGTGCACGTATGCACCCACATTGTACACATGAAGTACACAAATGTCCCGCTGCTCCTCCAGCCCAGAGCACTGACTTAGGAAGGGCTGAAAAATATTAATTCCCAGAGCATCAGCAGTGCTACTCCCTCTGCTTAGTCTCGCTCCTTTCTGGTTAAAAACCAGAGAACCTTCACACTTCAGGGACACTCTGTTCTCATCTTTTGGTTACGTTTTGAGATCACAACAGAATTAGAAAGAGCTGTAGATTTTTTCCCAGAATGCTAAGACAGTCAAACCTCAGCACTGCTCACTTGACAGTCTATTTTAGGCTCTTTTGGGCCAAGGAATCATTAATATTTCAGTCTAGCCCATTTAAAATTCAAACATAACCTTCTAAACTTTGGTCTGTGTGCTACATTTAGAGTAGGAGCCAGGTAGAGGGTTTTGGTGTCTCCCTTTCTATTACTTAAGAAAATAGATAATGAGTGGGCAAATTGAGCTTTACACTTCAAACATCATTATTAGTCAAACATACTTTCAGGTTTCTTGTTTCTAGCAAATTTTTTTAAACCCTCTTACCTGCCTTTCCTCCTACAGAAAGGAAAGCACTAGCTTCACACTTCAGTTCATTGCTAAGTGTTATTTTAAAGCTATGAGCTTATCTATAAAGTGAAGATACTCTTATTTCAAATGTTCATATGTATGTATGAACATATTCTTCAAAGAGAAGTTCGTCCTTGAGAAGCCACAGTGGCCATATTATTTGCATTCATGAAATCAGGTCACAAATTCAATAAAATGTTCTATAAAAGCATTCATTGCTTTTCTACTCATTTAAATATTTTTTTTTTCTGGTTTTGCAGGTTGTAGAGCCTCTCTGATTTTTTTCCTAACGCCAATAAACGTTCTGTTTCCAGTAGCAGCAATCTTACATCATTTGATGTGTGYTAGTCTCTGCTCCTGCAGTCCTCCAGCTGTGCTCCTCTGCTTCCCTGCTTGCTGTCAGTGCCACCCATGGCTACTTTCCTGCTAATTTTACTTTGCCTCTAAATTGGACAATTATTCAATACCTTTCATAGTTTACAATTCAAAATTCACCTATTATTTTTTCATATATGATATCGTGATATGCCAAGATTCCTGGTTTCTATGGTAAAACAGAACTGTAGCAGGTTGGTTTATCACAGCACATCATCACTGTGCTCCTGTACATTAGTCAAAACTAAAAACAGGATTTGGAGAAGTTTTAAGCAAAATCATCTCTACATCTTAGATTGTAAGGTGTGATACTACCCAAGTGATCCGAGCTCTCGATAGGAAAGCAAAAACAAAATGTGATGCCTCTTGTATTGGAAAAATAAATAACTAATAACAGGAACATCCAGAGCCTTGAGACACATCAAGGAAGGTTTACAGAAAGAAGTATTGTATCTGTTCTCTTTGTGAGCGACTGTTGTCTATGAGTGAAAGAAAACAAAACAGTAATTTCAACATAGTCAATATACTGCCATGATTAATATGAGCCTGCTTGAACTGATTGATGCCAATAACAGCTCAAGGGGGTTGTCTGTTAGGGTTTTTTTAAATTAAATATGCTTTTTTTATGAGGAACTGTGAGCAATATGCCCAGCCTTTGCCACATCATTCATACTGATGCAGGTTCCTCCCCTGCATCTGCGAGGCATTAACTGGCTCTACTGTGGGGAGGAGAGAGGATGTATGAGCTGGAATCCAATTGCAGGATCAAGACAGATTATGGAAAAATCCAATAAAAGCATTTTCCCAGCAGGGAGACTTATGCCAAAGAAAATAATGCTATTTTCAAGATTATTCAGCAAAGATTCTAGTTTAGAAGAGTTCATGTCAGCTCCAGAATACCTGATAGGTCATATTTGTCCTTGTAATTCTTAATCATGCTCATGAAATGATAGTGAAAACATCATCTGGGAGATTAGAAAACCAATTGAGCTAAGAAGAGCTTCCTTTGAGTAAGCCACTGCACTGGCTGGCAGGCCCTGTGGGATGACCACCTTGCCAGGCAGTATCTCAATCTGGCCAATGTTTCACCCTTGCCCCATCTTCACCAGGCAGACTTTCCCTGGAGCTGTAGCCCCCCAGCCTCCTCTGCATTAGCAAGCCWGTTTTGAAAACTTTACTCCTCTGTGGCCTTGAGCATGCGCTACCATCAAATATTGGCTGAGCAGSGCCTCTCTGTCTTTTTGTTCCCCTCATGGCCACCCCAGAATGGKGAAGGAGGATGTCAGTACAGGCGGTTGCATGTCAGGACTTCTGCTCCATACAGCTGCTTTGATGGGAAATGACAGGCACCGCTGACTGTCACGCTGCCTCYGGGACTGTCTGCTGAAAATCTCACAGAAATGAATTGAAAAGTTCACAAGGAACCTGCCTGCAAAGCAGAGACAGATACCTCAGGCAGGGGAGAGGGAGCCATGGTACTGCAAGGCTGAGGGGACACAGAAGACCACCACAGTGCAACAGTTGCACTGGGGAGAAAGCAGGGATTACTCCCGGGCTGCTTCCTGGGATGTCAGCCTTCCAGGACAGCAACTGGCTTGCAAATACTTTGCAGTTTTCCACAATTCCCTCTTGTCTAGCTGCTTAGAGAAAAGGCATTGTGTTGGTTACCCTTCCTAGTCTGGTGCCTTCGTAGGAGGGGCAGAGACATATTTGCAGAACAGATGATGAGGACAGGGTCAAGCTGACACAGAGGCCATCCTCAGGGCACAGCTCCCCGCTGGCATATCAAACTTCTGCTTCCCTAATTTCRTCCTATCATCACTCCTTGCCCGGCCCATTTAAAGGGTTAGAACCAGATGATCTTTAAGGCCCCATCCAACCCAAACTGTTCTGATTAGACATAGCCTTTTCAAGCTCTGGAAGTGGATGTCATTCTCAAGGAGGAGGCTGCCTTAAACTGTTCTTCCTATATTAAGGAGTTGATAATGTTTTTTCAAGAGGATGTTGAAGCAGAACATACACATGCTTTTACTATACACCTATCTCTAATTCTTACTTTTTTAAGGACTAAATGTGRTGCTCAACTAGAGATTATGTCAGCTCTACATCACCAATCAGCTTTGTGGTGGCAAAGTTACCATCTTGTTAGAAGCATCTCAAAATGTTCAMAGAGCTAGTCACCCTCCTTTGTCACATGGCATTCATCCCCACCCCCTCAATTAGGACTCCACACCCTATGCTGCTAATTCCATTGGCCTTCTGCGCCACACWGCTCCTCATTCCAAGCCACATCCTTCCTTGCAAGGCCATCAGCCTCCTCAGGCTGCTCCCTTCCCATGTGGCAGCTGTGAATGACAAACATCCAGCGTTCAGCATGCAGACATGAATATCCCAGGAATCCTCTCTGCTTTTGGCAAGCCTCCTGCCCATCCCCAAGCACTTGYTGTATCCAAGCTGTGCAGGTTCCTCAATGCACACAGCTGCCTCCCATATGCTCTGGATTGCATGGGAAAGCCAGATTCACTTCCACAGCTTGAGCTAACAGGCAGGATACTTGAGCTATTGCCAAAACAGCCCTGCAAGAGAAAACAGCAGACAAACCTCTTCGGGATGCAAGAYTTGGACTCTACTCCCTAGTCAGATGCCCGTTTAGGGATTTCTCTAAGCAGTATAAATGCATAACCGTTGTAAAAGGGCCAGCATAGGCTGTGTGCACCTTGAGTGTCTGGCAAAGATCCTGGTTCAGTTTGTACCTCCAGATACTGGAGGTGGACAAGAAGATCAGTCCCCTGCAGTGTGAGCCCYCGACACACTGCCGAACGAAGAGCGACAGGCATCCTGCAGTGCTCCACTATCCCTGCACTTGCTGCAACCAGCACAGCTAAGGATGTGCAGATACWGGATTTAGCATTGTAGCTGAGGACAGAAAGGTACCAATTACAACAAAACTAGTTCAGGTGTGAATCTCTCTTGAGAGAGCAGTTCTTTGTAATCATCCTCAGCCACAGCCMTGAACAACTGGAACACGTCAAGGCTGAAGTCCAAGCACACCCAGATTTTTAGTGCCATGACTACACCCTCACTAAGGCAGTGAAGGAACCTAGAAGCATCACTGATGAGCCTAAGACCCTTCATCTACTAATCTGTAACAAAGCTTGTGAGGACATTTATGTTGTTTTGTTGGCGTTTTCTATACTTTAGTCACACCAGCAAGGCACATGATTTACTAGTTTTTTTCTGGCTCACTAAATACTGTTATCTTTCTTGAATTTAATAAAGGTATTTCAGCCTTCTGAAGTATGCTATTCTATTGAAACTTAGAGCCAAATCCGAATCTTATTCTGTAATTAGCTTCTTTAATACACATAAAAAACTGAATGCCAGTCAACAACAAATTAATTCTCAGGAGAAAAATCTAATGCCCTGAAGTTGAAGCAACCATCAGAAAACAATTTACACTAAGCAAGCTGAAAAAAACCCACCACATACACAGGTTAGAACAAATTTGTAGTTGCATTTTATTTAATCAATGAAAATCTACCTTAAAAACACAAAATTAAATTTGGTAACCCAATACATTGGATCAGAGAAAGCTTCAAGCTTTTAAGCACAAGCCAGAAGTCACAGTCTCAAAGGAGAGTTTCATAGGCCAAAGCAATACACTGGAACAAAGTAGTATCTTTTTGTGGAGACATGCCCCCTGCACCATTAGCGTGGTTTGGGTGCAGCTGGTTTTTTAGCTGTCAGTTATAAAAAGAAGCTTTTGTATTTATTTTATAGGTAGGTGTGTTGCATTGCTTACRTAGGCCCTGGATTAATGGAGAAAACAGGCCAAGTTGTAAGTCCTTGCCTGCCCAATTACTACGAACAGACAACTTACATTGTGGTAAAGCTAGTTTTATTTTAATGAGGTTCAGACAAGAAGTAACTTTACATATTATTAACAGCTTTGGAGCTACAAACGTAAGAATCAGGATTACACAGGTCATGCTTTTGTTAGTTTTGTTTTACCTGCTGCAGTTATTGCAATATGGCTTAAGGTACATAGGTATACAATTTGTACAAATTCAGCCAAGTTTGCACTTGTGAGGTGTTATTAAGAGCATCATTACCTTGCAAGCCAACCTAAATGTGTTAATCRACCGAGGTTTTTGGAATTGCCCAAAGCTAAGGGGGAAAGCTGCTGCTAATGATGGACAGAGATAGACTGGATTGTTTGAAACCAAATTGTTTGGCTTTAAATATTTATATAATTTGCTCTGAGGTAAGGAAAAATCTTTTGATGCTTCCACRCAGGGCAGCACCAGATGGTGCAATCACACCAGTGCAATCAGTCACATTGCTTGCTGGATGTGCAGCCTCGAGGAGAGGCGAGCACCTGCCATAACAAGAGTATTTGCACACTAAAGTTGATTTTAAAATAAATTACTATACAGGTATGAGAGTTGTTCAACTTGATGGGCATTGGTTTCACAATGTGTGATCTGTAACCTTCACTTTAGAAATCAGAGCTGAAAGTACTGAYTTGTACCCCTTGTTTGATTTTAATGTAAACAACAAAGGAGAGGACCAATTCCTGTTGAGGACAGACATCCCAGGACTCTCAGTCTTGGAGCTTGTAAGGATCTTTATATCACCCTGCTCATTCTGGTCTCAACTGYTGCCAGTCCAATCCACCTTACATGACCGTTTTTAAACCTCTGCACCCCAAAGATCTCATCATCCGCTTTTTGCAATTTAAGGCAGAACTCATCACCAAGTCCTTACCCCCTTTCCTACTCCTGCCTCAGAAAAGACAGAATTGTCAGGAGTGGGTAGAATTTAAGAAAATGGTGTGGTGGGAAAACAGTTCAGGCAGGGGAAAGGAGGAAGTGTGTATGCAGGAAAGATGTCAGACAACATAGGGCAGGAAAAGACTTCACGCTGGATGGGGCAATGACCAGAAATTAGCAGGCTTTGGAATGAGAGGTGTGGTATAAAGCCTGTGGCACAAGAACAGTGAAATGGTGTCTGGAGTGATCTCAGAAACCAGGGAGGGCTGCAAGYAGAAGTAAGCAGTGGGTCAGGTCAGGGCTCTCCTTTTGTCTTGAGAAATATCAAAGTTCTACATTAAAATCAGAACTGGGTTTAGGATATACATATAAATATTCAAAGCAAGACAGCCAATTTTTTTGAGAGATTTTACGGGRGAAGAAACCTGGAACAATAAATAGGAAACTACATGTTATCAATTCCGCTCCAATAATATCAATCAATTTCCTCTCCAGGCTACTCTACAAAATTCATTTAAGGGAATGCCTAAACAGTACAGAAGTATCATTGCTCTACATTAAAATCAGAACTGGGTTTAAGACATACATATAAATATTCAATACATTACAGTCCAGTCCTGAGACCTGAAGTTTGGAACAACAGAGGAAGGGTATTTTCCATCTCCTTTCAAGCTACACTGTAGAAAAAATTTCTGACTAAATCAGGCCTGCACAAATAYAGCTGAAAGATGGGCAGAGATACCTGAATGGGACTGAAAGGCAGCAAACTTGAGCACCTCGCTCAACAATTTGTGCGTGATCCAGTTCCTGCTGTTTGACAGATATATCCAGAAGTCTCATGTGTTCTCATCAGTCAGCCCTTCTCTTCCCCCTCACACGCAAGCTGAGCAGCATCTACAGCCACTCACAGGTCAGATCAAGGCAGCTAGGAAAGACGTGAGGGATAAGGGAGACTGCAGAAAGAAGGGAGGGGGATTCAGGGGTAAGTGAAGGGATTCAAGGAGATTGGACAGACAGGACACACATTAAATGAGGGGACAGCAATAACCGTGGCAAAAATTCTAGTGGTCTGCCCAGTCACTCAGTGGTGCTTCTCCAGTCTTAATGGATTATTTTGGGCAGAGACAAATGACCTTCCAATGGAACACAGATAGGGATACAGCCAATATTGAAGACATTGTTTTTTCCACAAAAATGGCAAGGTGAGATCTTCAAAAGAACAGATGTTAACATCCAAGGAAAAAGGGTAGTGAATAAAGCTCCTGGTTCTGTGGCAGGATTGTCAGTTGTTCTCTGGGACCGGCATCTCTCCAAACGCCACATGGATGCTTAGCACATCTGAAAAAAAGATGATGGTAAAAAAGCTTTAGTGAGCTGTCATTACTTTCTCAAGAATATCTTATTTTCCCAAGCAGTTCTCAGAGACAAAGGTCTTATGACTTAGTGAAGCAAGTGCAGAATATATCCTAGGGAGAGATTATACTTTTGATTTCTAATTCCTCTGAAGTGCAAAGAGCTTTGTACAGGAGGCACTCCAGGTTTACCACAGAGGGCAATACTCACACCCTTTAGGATTTTAAAAAGAGCTTTATTAGAAAGTGCATTTGTATATTAAATCCCACACATTAACTGYGTTACATGAGTCCCTACCCAGGAAAACTGAAAAATACATTTTCTACCTCCCAGAAGTATCACAGCAATATRCAGACAAGTCCAAGGCCACTGAAATGAGGGTAGCCCTTCAGCAAAATTATTAAAAACAAGCCACCACATCCTATTAGAGAGAATGTACTACAGAGATCCTCAGAAGTACCTTAGAAAAATGAATAAATTACTGGCTAAAAATGCTACTTACATTCAAGGCGTCAGAGCCACTGAGTTCTGACTTTGTCTTTCACAAGATGTTCCTTCTTGGCAACTATCATCCTCCCACATTTGTGTTTTCCCATCTTCCACTGGTGGGCAATATGGTTGTTCTTCATTTTCTATGCATGTTTGCTGTCCTGTATGTTGGTCTGAGATTTCCATAATGTATCCAACCTCTTTTTCCTTTAATTTTGGTGCACGTATATCYAGGGTGTCTTTGGCTGAATCTCCTGAAGCATTTTGTTCTAGTGTTGATTTCTGAAGTCTCACACTTCCCCTTGATATGTCTTCAGGGCTTGTCACGATTGTTAAAGAATTCTGATGTTGTCCATCTTTCAGCATCTCGGAAGTTAAAGGCAGGTCCTTTGTTTTTTCTACAATTGCATTAATTTCTGCAGACTCAGTTAAGGTAGAAGTTTTCACTATTCCTGGTTGCTTGAGCTCTTGTTCTTTACTTCGTATCTCTTCCTCATTTAATGGAAGCTGTTGATTTACCTGCGTACTTCCCACAAGTTCAGGTACAATTGCATCTGATGGGCTTTTCCCTATGGACTTAATGCTCTGCTCTGACTCAAAGGCAGCCGACTCTTCTGTTTCTGAAAGTTTGTCAACAGCTGACTGGATGGCATTCAATACAATTTTTGTACTCTGGGACTCTATAATCACAGACTGAACAACATCCTTCTGAAATTCCAAGTGGCTGGGAGATGGACTGTGACTGGAAGGAATACCATTGTGTTCAGCTTGCCCTGTGCTCTGGGGCCTCTCATGCTCCTCTGATATTCCATTCATGGAAGCACAGGTTACTGTAGGTTTGGGTGCCTCCACACTACCAAGCTCTGCAGTCCCACAGCCTGAACAGTCAATAGTAGAAACTGGGATCCCTTCAGAAGCCATTTGYTCTGGTGTGGTTGCCAAGAGCTGGACAGTTTTGGCCATTGTGTCTGTGGGTGTCGCCATTTCTGCCATGGCATGCTCTCCAACTGCTGCAGCTGCTAGAGGCACAGGTGTTTTCAGAGCTGCAAAGCTTTCAGCCTGTGGGAAGGCTGCATCAGAGCCTTCCTCTTGCTGGACAGCAGCTGAACATTCATCACRTCTCACAGCTTCYGTTTTTCCATATTCTTTGGCTCCTTCCGTCAATTGCTCATTTYTGTTMTCTTCTTTCTGGAAGCCTTGACAGTTCAAGGTTTCTCCAARTTCTTTTCCCACAGTCTCCTCTCCAGCCAAGCTGCTGGGTGCTTCACATTTCTTAGGACTTAGATCAGCGATAACAGCACTTCCATTTTCAACAATCTCTGGGCATCCTGATGCTAAATTAGATGCCCCGTCTGTTCCTATCTGTGCAGGAGCCTCAGCAACAGTGGAAGTGCTCTCCAACTGTGTTTCAGATTTGAGCACAGCACCTTTCATTTTGCCACCTTTAGTTTCATCACTCTTGGAGGGGGTTTCAATTACTTTGTCTCTGCATTGTGGCTCTAAGATGGGCACAGAGTCTTTTGCTGCAATGTCCCTGTCAGGCCCATCGCTCACACTCTGCCTGGCATCCACAGCTGCTTCTGAGCCAAYTGTTTCTGAAGGAAGGGCTGCAGTGCTCTGCGGTGGCACCTCAGGAACAGTGACGTCTGTGCTTTTTACTCCGTTGAGCACAGCAGTATTTTCCTCTTCCTCACTCAGGGCAGGTGCCCTGCTAGGAACTCCTTTAGTACAAACTTGCTCTTCTGAGTCAGGAATTCCATCCTGTTTTTCAGTTTTAACAGGGACCACAGTGACAACTGCTTCTGYGCACTCTGGCCCAGTGGGGGTTCTGCCCTCTCCTTCAAGCTGCACAGGTTCTTCATCTGTAAGTCTCAAGGATGATGCTTCATCCTCTGTCTTATCCTGAACCTGTGGAGAATTGCAACAGATCTGTGAAAAAGGGTACAAGCAGGGAGTGACCAGCAATGCTTTAGATAAAAAACTGCAACATCCAAAAGGGCAAGAGTTATGGGAAGAGMACAAGGTGATGACACAGGAATTAGTGTCTCACCAAGACCCCCAGCTTGTGCTGTTTCTGAGGACATGCAACTCATTAAACAAAGSGCAGCCTTAAATTAATTAAAGGAAGGGATATGTGGCAGCACTTGAAACAAAGACTAAGCCAGGAAGATAAGGAGGTAGGGAAGAATKTGCCAGCCACAGTGTCACATGGCTTACATCTGTATCTCAAGTGTTCATATAGAATCTTCAGTCACTTTGTGCAGTGCAGGAGCCCTCATAGCAGTCATTTCAGTACATCTGGGTCCATGCACACCATCTCCCACACCAGCTCTGTAGGYATTGCATCCACCCCACCCTGCACACAAGCTTCAGTGCCTGCTGCTTCTACATGTGTGCATCTCACTGGAAATGAACTTTATTCTTTGGCATTGTCTCAGGCTGCACAAGAAAGGTCCTTGACAGTAATATATCCACAACCCGATTCTAACCTAGGTATGGTATCTAACATTTGCTGATTTTTTCTTTGATCAGTCAACCTTTGTGTTACATGCAATACTTACTGCAGGCTTTACTTCTGGAACACACTCATCTCTTGTCTCATCCAGTGTCAGCTCTGTTACGGGCATTTTCTCTTGTTCTGAAGGCTCCTGCTTTGCAAACAGCTCTTCCTTGGGAGTGACAGCTTTGATGCTGTGAAACTCTGTGTTCTGTGATAAAGGTTCCTCTATTGTCCTCTGCACATCATTTTGTTCTCTATCATCTTCTACAGCTGCTTCTTCATATGCCTGACACTGGCTTTCACCTCCCAATACCTGTACATTTTCATGTTCTTCTGTGCTTTCTTCCATCACAGAGAGCATTTCACTTTCCTTTGAAACTTCAGGTAAAACACTCTCTTCAACTCTGTTTTGGCCTTGAATGCTCCCTGCACTTTGCTYGTGCCGGAGGCCATCCTCTTTGTGTTCTTTCTCCAAGGACTGTTCAAGCAAAACAGTTTCCTGGCCTRCAACATTCCCATCTTTAGCATCACCTTTCACTTCTGATTCAAGTGCCTGTACTGTTGTAATTACAGTTTCTGTCACAGCTCTTTCGMTAACCACCTGTGCTACATCTGACTTTACTCTTTCGGCAACTTCGTGAAGAACTTTTTGCGTCTGTTTGTCCAATTCTTTCAGATTTTGTTCAGTGGCCTCTACTTCTTGAACMGGTGTAGCTTCCTCTGTTGTATCTGGGGTTTCTAACTGTGAAACAGCAGAAACCATCTCAGTTGTTTCTTCAGCAAGGGACACTTCCATTGTTTCTTCAGCACAGGAAGCTTCTGCTGTYTCCAGAGCAGTCACTGCTTCTGAGGTTAGCTCCAGCTCACTTGCTGTGGTGTCATCACTTGCATCCTTTCTCGTCTCTGGCACTGTCTTAGCAGCTACTGCTGCATCCTCCACAGCAACACCTGGTTCAGCCATTTTCTGAGTTTCTTGCTCTTCCTCTTCTCCTGCCTGCTCAATGCACTCTGTCAGAGCAGCAGATATCCACGACGGTGACCTTTCCTCAATGCTRGACACTGCCCTTTCCCCTTCAACAACTGTAACAGCAACTGCATGTACCAGCCCTTCAGATCCTTGCTCAATTCTTAGCGTCTCATCTRACTTTCCTGCTCTCTCTTCCTCTGAGGTTCGTGCTCTCATTGATTCAGCATCTTTTGCTCGTTGGGCTTCCAATTTCTCCTGTTCTGCTGCTTCATATTCAGATAAAGGAACAACAGCTGGAATATCAGAATCTTCTTCAGCTGTTTCTGCCATGTCCTCTTTGGCTTGTTTAAGATGAGCTGGTTCTGGCTTTCCATCTGACTTTTTCTTCCTACGCCCAGGCATCAGTTTTCTAAATGAAACCCACGATTCATCTTTTCCAGGCTCACCGTCCGATGTTGAATGCTCCAGGCTAGATCCCACAACAGAGTCTTCAGTTCTCTCTTCCATTCTCGTTTTGGATCTCCTTCTTGGAGTAACTAACCTTTTAAATGATTCCCATGTTGAAATACCTTCACTTTCGGATGGGCTTCCAGCTTGTTCTGGGGAAGAATTCCCTTGTCCTTGATCACTCTCCTGAGAGCTAGTAAGAACTGCATCTGTCGCTGTTTCTCTGCTCTGTCCAGACTCTTCTACCTTTTGGCTTTCTTCATCAGACGATGATGACTTCCTGGCTCTTTTTTTTGAAGAACCTACACATATAAAAGTTTCCCAGGACACAGAGGTGTCAACCTTTCTTTTGGGTTCTTCTGTTATTTTCTCTGGTTTCTGGTCAATCCCATTTTCTTTTATTTCTCCCTCATTTTCCTCAATAGCATTTTCAGTTGCAGAYACTGCAACACTCTTTGTCTTATCAACTTCTTCTTCTTTATCACTTTCAGAAGGCCTTCTGACACGTTTCTTGGGAGTCACCATCTTTTTAAATGATGCCCAAGGTGTAACAGTTTCTCTTTTTCGCTCCACATCTGGAATTGTAGCATCCTCATTTTCAGTGACCTGCATTCCATCTGCAGGTTTTTCTAAAGAAGGAATTTCATTCATCTCCTCAGGAGAAGAAGCAGAACTTTCCCCCTTTTGTTCATCTGGGCTATCTGGGGAATCTGATAAGTGCTGAATTGGTTCACCCTGTTCCCCTAACTTAGATTCTTCTCTTTTGCCTTTTTGCTTCTTTCCRGACAGTTTTTTCAATCCAGTACCTGTAAAGAGTTTCTTTAAAGGACTGCCTTGTAGTTTAGTCTTTTCTTGAGAAGTCAGGAGTTCTGCTTCATTTGTAATACCTTCCGGAGGCCTCTTTCCAGCTGCCTCTTCAGACGTTATTTCCATGGCTGTTTCATCTGGTTTGACAGTATCAGTCGTATCTATGCCAGGTTTTCCCTGTAGTCCTTCATCAGTGGTTTTGACTGACTGTTTATCTTCCTCTGTGTCAACTGCATGTTCAGAAGTAGAAAATAACTTTGATCCAGCAGCACTCACAGTTGACTTTGTTTCACATTCTTTGCTTTCCTTYTCCTCTGTGGTTCTATCCAGAGCTTCTCCTGGTGCAACACCTTCTGCTGYGGATGACATTTTCAATTCTGCTTCCTCTACTTTTTCATCTAAGGTCTCTTTCCCAAGTGGAGCAGATTTATTTCCTTCTCTTCCTTCAGATTTTTTAAGCTGCTCACTAGAAATTTCCATTGCTGAAGATCCTGTTTCAAATGTCTCTTCAGAGGCTATTTCAGTTCTGTTGTCTCTTTCACGCTTCTCCATTGACCCCAGTTTTTCTCCCGCAAGTAGGACTTCTGAGGACGTTTTCAATTCTCCATTCACACAGTCAGTCACAAGAGGTACCACTGACTTTGTTTCTAGTGGTTTCTCTGTCACCTCACCTTCTTCCTCTCCTTCAGTTTTTTCTTCCTCTCTACCAAGATCTTCTGAGACTTCCACCATTTTCCTTTCTTGATCAGCTTCATCTTTTTTTCCCTCTACACTTYCTTTTACAGCTGCTGCTGCCAGGTCGTCTTTTTGTCCCTGCTCATCATGCTTGACTACCTCTTCACTTCCTTCTATTCCTATGGCTGCCAGAGTCTTTTCTGACTCCTGTGTTTCACCTCCAGTCTGCTCCTTCTCATGCGTTTCAATAGTTACTGCTGTCACACTCCTCTCTGCATCTTGCTTCTCAGACTCAGGTTTCTCCTCCTTTTCACTSGTTTCAGTTGTCAATGCTGCCCCCTCTTTTTCTTGCTCCTCCTCTTTCACAGGAGACTGTTGCTCATCTTCTTTAGGCTTCCTAAAACTTTTCTTTTTTCTAAATCCAGTCCATCCTTGAGTAAAAAGTTTTCTTAGTGGTGATGCAGTTTCAGTGGCTAAGGCAGCTGGCTGAGAACAAATCTCATTTGTTTCTGGTATTTTAGGAGATTCATCTTCTGTTTTTTCATTTTTTGGTATATCTTTGGTGGTGTCTTCTGCAGACAGTACATCCTCAGGCACTGCTGTTTCTTCTGACACAACTTCTTTTTGATCATCAGCTCCTTCWTGGACCTGTGTTTCCTTCTTTACAGTGAGCAGCTGAACTGGCTCAGATTTTCCTGTCTTTTCCTTCTTCACTGTGAATCTGAACCCAACAAATTTAAAAACCTTTTTAAAACCCAGATCATAAGACTGTGGCTCTGACACCTGGTCTTCTGCAACTTCTTCCAATGGTGGCAAYTGCTTAATTGAATGAGCATCCTCTTTCTCAGCATCTACACCGTCCTTGGTGCTTGAGTCAGATGGATTTGTCTCCATAGTTTCACTGTCTTCTTTCAAAGTTACACTGGAATGTTCTGTTTCTCCAACTGTTTAAACAACAACAAAACCCCAATTAATTTTCTTCTCAATTTAATGTCATATTACACCTTTACATAATCTTTTCATTTTTACCATTTTCATTAACATACTTGTTCTATTAATATCCTGTGCCTTTTCTATATAGTACTAGTATGTTTTTAAGAACTAGTTTTTGTTCTATCATTACTATAGTTATTTTTCTTCTTTGTATCATTGTACAATTCCTTCCAAACTTTATTTGCAAATGCACCTTTCAAGCTTATATTCTCTTACTCTATTCCCTGATTATGCTGCTCTTTTTGTGTGGTTGTTTATTTTTTTTTTTTTACTTTAAGGCAAACTTAAATAAGAAAAAAATATTTCTATCACAGACTATACAGAATAATATATGCAATTATTCCTGAAACAAAGCTCAATACACATTTCCATGCAGACAAACACATCTGAGGGAAAATGAAAATCAAATCAAAAACCTAATGAACAAAAAAACCTGCAAACAAGCAGAACAAAGAAGAAAAAAAAAATCATCCAAAAAAGGGGGTCAACCTAAAATGATGACAAGAAAGCTTATCTTACAGCTCTGTCCCAAAAGAATAGTAAGATGTGGAAACCACTGGAAATTACCTGTTTTTCCGAAAATCTATAACCCCTACAAAACAGTTACATAATATATTGCTTTGAAGATCACGAACCTTCAGAATTCTCCCATACATGGCATCAACATCTACAGCAATTTCACATGGTTTAAGATTAATTCAGGTTGTTACTATGCAAGAAGTAAAATCCTCCACTGCTCACATGTCTGTTTGCATTATCTGTTCTTTAGAGGACAGCTTGAGTTTTTCCTTCAAATGAGTGGCAACCATGCTTCTCAAGTGTTGCTGGCTTTTTTTTTTTGTTCCCTCTGGCCATAAGCTACAGACAGGCATGTAAATTAAATCTATGGCATATTCAAGACACCAAAAGATTCTTACGCTTGGATGCTGCCAGCATCAGCTTGTTCTTGACCTTTGATTTKGTCCAGCAGGTGAAAGTGCAAGGTCATGAAGGAACACACTCTTCTCTCTCACCAAACTTGTTGGAGTGCCAAGATGAAAAAATAAAATTATTTTTAAGATATTCAAGGTTGAGCAGCAACACCCTAGGAGAAGGCATGGTCCCTTTTCTTCCAAGCTGTACGTGTGCTACTTCAATGTCCAGAGGCAGAARGAGACAGCTTCAAAAAGATCATGAAATTCCCCAAAGTGATTTGGTTTTTACTTGAACCACCTTTAAATTGTCTCTGACTCTGCAGTTGGCCCTGCTTTGCCGGAACACCTGATCTCTCGAGGTCCTTCACAGCCTCTTGCCTGAGTCCCCTTTAAGAAGGGCTGCTTCCTSAGAAGCACATGGACAATGCTGCCTAGGTAAGGCTGGAACTAACTACACAATRAACAAAGCTAAATCTACAAGGATTCTGGCTTCTAATTGCTATGCAGAGGGCAAATTATGTTTCACTATCAGCATCCTACTGATTGTTGTTTCTCAGTCAACGTAAGCAAAGCTTTGGTTTTTTCTAACAGTTTAATATTATTTTCTTCAATTGTTAACTTCTAATTCAATTAAAAGCCTGACTTCTGCTAACATGCTAATTCCCCGAACATTTCAGACCAGACTTGTTTGAACTGACCTGTTTGTRAGGGGGAAAGGTAACAAGAAATACACATTTTTCTGAAGAAGCCAGGATTTTTACTCTATTGGTAATATATCTCTTGCAAACACCAGAACTTTCCACAAACAAAATAACTGTTATCAATCAAACATTACATTTTGTTTATTTAGTTGTATGTTGAGACTATACAAGGATAAAGTCAAGGAACCACTTTTGTATCTGTGTTCATTTACTCCTAGGTCTGGAAATAAGGTCCTTGTCATTTCCATAAAATAATGYAATTTAATAGAAAACTGTCAAAWGCTTAATGGGAACTCACAGAGTTAGTGGCAYTTCTTTGAAGACTATCTTCAAAACATATTTTGTAATTTAGTTACAGGTAGTTTAGTATATTCTTCAGCTTGTTTACACTAAAAAAAAATTCATCTGACTTAACCAGGTATGAAGCTAAACACTGATCGCTTTACATTGAATAAAAATTTTCTCATGAGCCAGGCCTCTTAGCACCTCTGGTAGAAACAAGGTCTATAGAGTTGCTGTTTATCCCAGCCCTGCATTGAACATGAAATGATTGACTGAGCTGACTCTTAGACACATGAAAATCCCCATCTGACATCAATTAGATAAAGGCAGACTGAAATGTGGGGCTGAGAGSTAGCAGGGAATAGGTCTAGGAGGAAGAACCAGAAGTGCAGAAAGGCAGAAGSAGAAGTCAGAAGGCACTTGGGACTAGTGAGCAGGCAGAGACACAGATTTCTATGGGCTCACCTTTCCTCTTGCAAACACTCCCTGAGAATGAAAGCCCCATCATTTTTCAAAATCCTGGGGTTTCAAAAAAATTTTATAAAAAAAAGAAGTGTCACCTTTTTACATTTCTAAATTTGGCGTTTAGTATAAATCCAGTGTTTAAGATGAACTTCAGGTATTACAAATAAATGGGATTACTGTAAGAGAGGAATKAAAAAGAATATGAATAAATGAGGCATTCCATTGCCAAAGAGATATAAGATGTAAAACTAGTATATAATCACCTCCTTTGATATTCAAGATAAGCATTCAAAGGGGTTTTGCTTATTCTGTTTATAAAACTGATGTATTTGTAATACTCCAAGACTATGTCTCAAAAATGCTTTGTGGGTGAAAAGACTTGGGACAATTACAAAATCTGCAGGTATTGCTATGCATTAAGATAGCAAATGCAATCATAAAAATACAGAACAGAGTGTTCAGTGGCAGCAGTAAGCTTTCAAAACTGTTAAATCAGGCTGACAGTAATTAGGTGTTCCTTGTGAGTCCGTCCAGCAGACACATTACCTTGCAAAACTTCACTAAACACAGTGCAAAAAGAAAAACTAAAAAATATATTGACTGACTTAACACGCACTTATTAATACCAGTTTGAAAAGCTGCAACTCTGCTACACACATCACACTTCTACCACTCCCTCATGGTACACTTGGGTACTTACAGACCTAGTCCAWGCACTACCTCTTCAATTCTACAAAAGGATTTAACCTGTCCAGAAGGGATTTCATTCCCAAGGTAACATTTCAGTGCCAGCTCTTAAGTGACCTGCTGATGCTGCATCCAGTCTCTATTTTGTCTCCTTCTTTAACATTTTAAAACCCTGGAAGATTCTTCAAAACTGCATTTCTGATGCCCTTCCTCAGCATTTCCTCTCTCTCTCAGGAGAGAGATGCCACTCAGGAAATCTGCCTACACGTTGCCAGGACGCTGCCACTGCTGTGTGACAWGGCTCCAGGGCCACGTATATCCAGGTTGTACTTTCACAACATATACCCCAAAGAGCATTTTTATATTCAGCGGGGTACAACAGAAACACAAGAGCAGTGAAGATGTACAACTTTGCATTTAGCAGTTGGATTCTATACTGATGWTTTTATTAGTGACACTGCAAAGCCCAAACACTGTCAGTGCAATTCTGAATGCAAAGCAAACCGTGAGCAGCTCTACCTGGAAAGGTTTAGGACATTACCTACACAAAGCACTGTTGATCAGTTCTGTAGCATTACACAGGTACTCTGGTAAGACAACCAGAATTTTCTTAATTCACTGATTTTGAAGGCACCTTTAAAAAACACCAGWCAGGCTCAAAGAAACCGCTACCAAAAACCAAAACAAAACAAATATAGTAAAATCCTGATGAGTAATACTTCCTTAGGTCTCTGAGCAGGGCTGTATTTTAGCAGCTATGTCCTAGTCAAGGAAAAGAATACAACAAAAACATACCTAGAGGAGGCGATATACATTGGGGTGAGATCATAAAATTGATACACTTTGCTGTTTAAATCCACTGTGGCTAAGGACCAACACTGAAATTCTATTTTAACCGCTTACATACCAGTTAACATTTCAAACATTTTTAATKGAATCAAGGTGCTGCTTGCGTTTTAATAACAGCAAATGTTCTATTTTATTCTGAAAGAAATTTTCAAATGACCGTCTTGCAGACTGAAAGGTGMTTGATTTCACAATTTCAGGGGTACTTAGTCCATGGTAATAATTTATTTCTATTTTACCAGAAGCATGGTGATCAGATGTTGGAGAACTAGTATTTTCAGAATTATCGAATTCCTGTCTCATTCCATTAAAAATAAAATGAATAAATAACGCTTTTCTTTTAGCAGACTGACAAACACTGTTGGCAGTGCAACTTAACTGCTCCCAACATCTCATCTCTCTCCACAAGTGAAAATGTGTTTCTCCCCTGGTAGCTGCCAAAGAGTTAAAAAAAGGCACTCTGACTGCAAGAGTTAAATCCACAGCACTTCATGTGCTTGCAGTCAACCATGTCAACATCTGGATTTGGTTGACTTTTCCCCCCAAGGATTTGCAGCACGGCGCTGGATTTTTTCCATGAATTCCCTACATTCTCAATCTCTCAGATGGATGTGACACACACCCAGCGCCCACCTCGCAAACTCCTCTGGCCACTGAAARGCTCCAGAAGAATTTGTGCTGTTTTCATTTATTCAGTGTTTAGAGCCAAACTGTGCGTTTGGACACATACACAATTCTCTCACTAGGTTCACATGAGCAAAAGCAAATGCTGCAGTCATGAGGCTGAAGGGGTATTCTACAATCATTTGCCTTCATTGTGTCTAGAATTTGCTATGAATACAATTTGTTCAAAGAAACAAACAAACCTACTCTAAAACTCATATGACACCAGCAGAAGGCTGTTAAAAAAATCTGAACCAAGCTTGTGTTTTTCAAATGAAGTTTTCTCTTAACTGCACAATTCGTCTAATGATTCTTAGAAACATTTAGTGACAATGTAAAAAAAGGATAAAAACTGATACAGGTGAGTAATTAAAAACCAAAACAGCTTRAAATTACACTATCTATGAAAAACCTAACCTGCACAGATTTATTTAGAAAATAGTAGGTGTTTGGAATTATTTGTGAAATTGAGCACTTTGGGCTTTTTCTTCTTTTTTAACACACTAATCTGTGCTTTTAGGTTGTCACTGCAGAGTGTATGAATTGAGCATTATATTACAAATTCTCATTCTTTTCATCCCAAGTTCAGAAAGTTGGGTTCAACAAATCAAATACACTACTCACTTCTCAGTAACAAAATGACACAGAAATATGATTATGTGTTATCCTTCTAACAATTTTTTTTAACTACAACTGTGACATTGCTGCTTCTTAACAAYATATTTTCACAAATTCTTCCTTCCTTTCCCTACCATATACCACATTWATTTCCACTTCAATGTACAAACAGCTATTCCACAGAAAGCACATACTACYTCCTTCTCCTTCTTATTCATTCAATTATTTCTAAGGACTGACTTGCCATGCATTGCAGGGAGCAAGTTCTTTTCAGAAAAATTAAATAATGAGGGGGTGGATTTACAGAGATTTTTGCATCCATGCAATTCATGAGCTTTGCAACCATGCCATTATTTCAAAGCTTTTGAAACAAGTATGRTTTCATTTAGTCTTCAGGTCTCTGGTATTTGGGAAGCAACTGAGGAGTTATGTTTAAAAAAATCTCACATACTTTTGCGTTCATTTTTAAAAATGGAAAAAAGGAAAATGCTGCAAAATACCTACTATTTTTCATGGCTTAGAACTCCTTTAGAAAGCAAAAGCAGCATCCCCAGAAAACGATATCATAAAAAAGTAACTGAAAAACAAACAAAAAAAAAGCAACCCCATACGCACAATCATTTCCGCTGTGATGCTGTAACATTCCTCAAAAATCGTTATTTTTAGAAGAGTTTGATTTAGCTGTACTTGTCTGCTCCAACCCAGAGCTTCTCAAATTCCAGCAGGAAAAGTTAAGCATTTAATTTCGTCAAGATTAAGGTATTTCTTTTTTTATTTCAATGTTTCAAGAAATAGCACTAAGAATCAGAAAACAGTATAGGTCCTCTTTAGAAACAAACAGAAGACTTTTAAAACCAGAAGGGTCATTAGCTATGGTCTGGGTATAGCTGCTGTAGTTAAAAATTCTTCATTAAATACACTCACAATAATAAAGTGCTCTCAGACCAGCCCAGCTGTTCTGTTTGRGAACCAAACCAGCATGCTACAAATATTTTTGAAATTTCATGGTTAGACATGCTGTCCACATCTCACATTCAGTGACTTGGTTCTGCTTCTTAAAATAAAATGTATTCACCAAGCATAAGATAAATGCAACCCTAGCACTAGGGTATTTGAGGRGAATAAAATTCATTGCTGCATTAGCAACAAGGGCAGGCTAAGCAATACAGGTCAGCAAATGTTGGGGCACTTTTGAGAATCCCTAATGATTAATGAAAACGAACAATGAAAACCAGATTGAAATTTCTCTCTATCAAAAAGACTACATGAAGACTAATACAAACATCACAAACTCACCACAAAGAAAATGAAGCTGCATCTGCACTAATTAGACACATGACAGCTTAATACACTCCTGCATACCAATAAGCAGAGGTRCTCTCTCCCTTCCAAGAAATGGCAGCGCATACTAAAAGCTAAATGCAGTTCTTGCAAAACGTACTATAGGAGCAGCTGTGCTGCAGTGCAAACCCAAGGTTCTTCCACAGGAATTATTAAATAAGGAGAACCTCAAACGATCAAACCGTGCAACCCTATAAAGAGATTGCTTTTGAAAAACAGTTTAACCTTTAATTGCTAACAATAAAAGGAAATAAAAAAAATAGAGAACCCTTGAGGAAAAAGACTCAGCATGTGATAAGCTCATTAAACATCGAGTTTAATGAAAACCCTATTGTAAACAGCAGTAGGGTATCTCCTCCACTACTCAMTGATTCAAATCACGTACAGTCCTCCCCAGGGCCCGCTCCAAATGAAGCCGTGCTTCTACAGGCTTTGTTGTCGATATGTATTGTGAAGTTGAAGTATTTTGCATGAATAAACACCCCCTATTTGTTGAATTCATTCACTGGCTCCAGCAAACAATATACAAAAGAGTAATCATTAATACAACGAAATAAAGATTTCCTAGATAGCTACAGACATATATCATCAATCTGAGAGAAATTCCGATGCAAATTAGCTATCTTTATGAAAAAAAGGGGTTATTTAAACTACATAATGCCACTTTGTCTCCCGGAGAAAGGACGTAAGTTCGTGCAAACCCAGCAGTGCACGGTAACGTTTTTCCCTTTTAATTCTTTGCTCCTCCAAAACTTACTATCTTTTCAGAAAGCCCAGTTAGTTTATGGTATTAGCWCTCAGCTTCAGTGGCCTGTGTGCCAATTCCTTTAGTAAGATGTGCGGAGTTCAGCGCACACAGCACCGAGTTTCTGGTGCGGCAGGCTGGGATCTCGCTGCCTCCCATACACGTATACACACACACCCCTTGCCACGGTGCTAATCCTCTCTGAATTTTGCTTCGTTAAGATAAAACAGAGATGGGAGTAACAGCTTCATTTCTCTCATGCAAATATTTTTACAACGTATAAACGATGCTAATTTCCACATTTCCTACGATTTCACCAAATTTAGCTCTTAAGGTATTTTATCGCCTTATTGCTTGATTAATGTAAAATAGCATCATCAAGTACAGTCACTACCTTCTCTTTCTGCTCCTCAATTTCAGAYACCAGGTCATAGCCCCATCCTGCAGAAAAACACCCAGTCAGCGCCTACACATTCATAAAGCCTCGTATCACAAGTACCACATCGAACGTCCGACTGAGGCGATATGAAACTTCCTGAAGTTTCAACAACCTTCGCTTGGAAGCGGTTCTCACTGAGATAAAAATACCAGATCTTTCAATCCTAAACGCCCCTTAGGAAATCCAGCCAGAGGGTCTCCCAGCCCCGGGATGCTGCTGCCGCCCGCACAGTCCCGGCGCTCCTGAGCCCGGAGARAGCAAACCCGCGTGTGCCGGCACCCCGGCAGTGCCACACCGCCTTACCCGCCATCGTCACTGTCCCCAGCATGGCTGGAGCCACACGGACACCACGACACCCTCTCCCGCTCCCAAGTTCCTCCCGGAGCGCGGTGCAGCCCAAGCCGACGGCAGCGAGAGGGRGCAGCCGCGCTTCCAGCGCCCCGGCACTCGGCTGGCTGGACGGAGGGACGGCTGACGGAAAGGCTGCCCGATGGAAGCCTGCCCGCCGGAGGGACGGCTCTCCCCCTCGTCCCACGGCCGCTCCCCCTGGCCCGGACAGCCCCAGCCCCGCCCGGGACCGCCCCCCGCCCGCCCCTTCCCACCGCTGGCCGGCACAAGCGTGGTGTCTCAAAGTGTCCGTCTTGGAATTGCCGCTTCCAGCCTTTACCAGCCTCTACCCCGAAGGGAAGAGCCGCCGGCTGCCTCTTTCGAAGCGGACGCCCGCTTCAGTTCCCGCTGTTGTAATGCCTTCCCACAAAGCATCCAGACCCAACCTCAACAGATGCCGGTTAAAAGCTCCAAGGACTTYACCCACCATAAACGAAACCATACAAAACACTTCAGTTTCTCCACAATGAAATATTTGCTCCTTTATCGGTTTGGGGTTTTGTTTTCATTGGTTTGGAGGTTTTTTTGTTTTTTTTTTAAATAAGAATTCTCTACAAACTAATTACTTATAAATTACCTCAAATCCTGGCATCAAGAGTTTCATATACATATTACTTGGGATACTTTAGTATATTAATATAATGCTCCTCCTAATAGTAAAAGAGGGATGAAATATAAAAAAAAAAAATAAAGGCTCAGTATCTAACACAGATACCCTATTCTTGCAACAGTACTTTATTTTGATTAGAATTGATTATGTTGAATATTGCCAAAATTCTGATGATACTTGAGCTTTCTTCTGACTATCAGAACCAGACAATTTACCAGAATTTCTGGTTAATTTAATTTTATAGTGGCAACTTTAATGAGTCTAGGTCATCTCTCAAATGKTCTTCAGAATGCAAGATTCAAATAATGACGATGAAAACCAATCAACCCCAAAATACTGCAACATGAACACTCCTTTACTGCAGGCAAACACTTAGTGTTACTTCAGTGCTTGGTGTCACAATGCTTTSCTTCTGAGTTTACAGACTCACAAGCAAGGTGAAAAAAAAAAAAGAATGAGTGAGGAGATTTCCCTGCATGGAGTGTCTAAGAGATACCTCTTCTCCACCTTTATTCATCTGCCTAAAGACTGATGAGGCAGACCAGACTCTCTGAAGCCCAGAGAAGTGAACACAGTTATGAACATCAGCCTTTATTTGAAGAACTCTTTTCAGTGCTTGACTGAGCAAGTTTTATTTGTCTCTACAGATGATGTTATTTTCAGCTACTGTTATCATCAAATACGTGCYGCATCACCTCCATAAAGGGATTTTTTACCTCAAGAGCAAACACATAGAACTCTTTTCCTTTTCCCATAAACGAGCCACTGACAACAGTGACTAAAGTCCTGATGACAAAAGGAACATCACACAACCACAGGAGAGATGATTACCAAAACAAAGCCGAGGCTTTTTGGGCAATCTACTAAAATCCATTAAAAATTGCTATGTATTGTTCACATCATGCTATGCAACTGGTCACATCATGCTATGCAACTGGTCACGTGTAATTACCTGCACTCAGAGGGAGCTTCTCACCTCCTCATTACATATCCTAGGAATGTGATTCCTGTACAACTGAAACTACAACCCGGGATTATTAAAAAATAATTATAATCTTTGACTATTAACTTGAAACTCATGCCCTTTTAAAGGCCTTGTCTTTTACTTGATCCAGAAGCTGAATATCAACATGAAATCTTCTCACACTACTTCCAAACATCAGGTATTTTCCTTTATGTTTAGTAAGCATCCTTCTCCCCATCCCTGTCCACTTAAGAGTAAAATATTAGAGAAGCAGAGTTTCATGAAAGGTACAACATGCTGCATCCCATTTTTATAGTGTCAAAAGMACCTACTACTATGATTAAAGAAAAGGCACAAAAGCTCAGGATAAAATATGGTAGCCTTCTTTTGGGATAATAGCATTATGACAATTAATCTAGAGAGATGACAAGGAATTGCTTTTACCACGATTCAAAAAATGTAAAATACACCAAGGACTACACACATGCCTTAAACTGCTCTATAGGCTGACACTGAAGTGCCTCATCTGCCCTGTCCCCATGCTCTCCAACACCAGCATTAGATGTCTGCTCTAACTGAAAACTAWCCCTCCCTCTTGCCATCCTGCCAAGTAAGTTAGTAGGAAGCAGGACTGCTGAAGCAGATCTCTCAGTGCATGCCTGTGAGTGTGAGAAGGAACAGAGGGAACCAAGAAGAGGCTGATGAGAGCAGGAAAGGTGGGCTGCCGGATCACACTGGAGAAAGAACAGCATGTTCCTGACCATGCAGCAAGGCAAGAGAGACATTCCCAAGTCAGAACAGACAGGGTTGCCCATGATGAGAAATGTTTTGGGGTCAAAATACAAACCTGATTAAAAGTAGTAGGAAAAAGAACTTTAATCAAGGTAAAACCAACGGACTAGCAGCCTGCCCTTCCTATGAGTTCAAAATAATTTATCATTAATATCACTAATGAATTAACATAAAAGGATTTCTGCCTTATGAAGGTAGGGACAGGCCTAAGCAGTAGGAACTCCTAACATGAGAAGTGGAAACTGAGCTGTTCCCACAGGTGGATGGTCAGGAGATGGGCAGCAAACAAGCAGAGGCACTGAGAGAACTACCCCCAAGGGGGAACGAGTGGGCATTACCACCACTGACACCAACAGCTTCAGTCCACAAGCCATTTGTCACCTGAACTCTCCTACAGAGAAAACACCTCCCATAAAACAGTGCCCTAGAAGCACTTGAACAACAACAGATCACTTGAGTAATACSTGTTCAGCAGCAGACAGCTAGTCGAGCCCCATTTCTACTTCTCACTGCATTCGACATGCAGGCCTTTATGATATGTCCATTGAACACAGGTTTTTACTCACTGTTTGTTCCACCAGACTCYGTTTGCTCTCTGGGTGGTTCTTGGAGGGGTGAAGCCACCTCTGGCTGATGCCCATCCAGTTCCTTAGATGCTGTAACAGCTCCCAGCTGCAGTGGCTCCTGTGGTGAGGCATCATGTTTCAAATTGTCTTCACTAACATCAGGTACTGGTAAACTTGCATTTAAAACCTGCGYGGTCAAGTATTGATTGAAGGATGGCAGTAGGAAAAGACAAAGAGAGAAGGAAAGAAAACATCAGTATTAGGCCAGATTCCCCCCAGCCCCCCCAGAATATTGTTCTTTCATTCTCACTTTCARCAAATACATGCAAGCAATTTTAACTTTATTAAATCAAAGTACTTCTGTGAGGGAAAAAAATAAAACACATAATTTGGGGCTTTTATTTATTTCTGCTCTCCCACATGAAATATGTGGAAGAAGCAGGTCTTATGGCCTATAACCTTGTGTAGAAATTGGATTCTTCCATGAAGGAAAACTCAAAGGTGACTCTAGCTGACGGAAAAGAATTGTTCATTCAATATGTCTGGCACAACTACTCTGATTTATGACTGAATCCTCTCTACAATATAGCTGTTGGTAYTGCTCCTCTACTGCTGTGCTTATCTTATCTTCATCAACAATACAGCTACAAAGAAACTGAACTATTCAGTACAGAAAGCAGAATACATATGCATTTCCCATGAGGAAAGGCAGCGAAACTGGGATTAAAACTAGAATTTTTGGACCTCTGTTATYAGGGGGAAACTATTCTTACAGGAGGAAAGAGCTTTGCAATTCTTTGAGACTCTGCCCTATAGCATTTGAAATATTTTTTTCTAGATTTGCTAATATGTACAAAAAGAAAAATCTGTTTTTCAGCTTCCACATTTGACACATTTTAATRMTTTTCAAAATTTGCCCTATAAGAARAAATATAYTTTTACAAGCRTATTTTTATTTTAAAAGTATGAAGTGTGTTGTCGTCATTACACGGTACTTAATTACCCTTAACTTATTGATTACCCTTCGTTTAATGAACTAGCTCTCCAACTGATTCTATTACCTTCTAACAGAAGCCATTTCAACTAATTAACCATTATTCCTGAAGCAGAGGTTGGAAGTTCCTCTGGTGGAACAGCAAACCTTAATTATGTTTCATTGTCTTACGACTCATCTGTACTCCCAAAATACTGCAATTGAAGCCCTGTTAATTAAGCAGAGGTACCACAGATACATTACACTGAAAGATGGGATCTAACATCCAAACACCTGAAGCACCRAACTGGGATCAGGAAGATTCCACATTCCTGACAATTTTCTTCCAAACCCCCCTACATAAACTTTCTGAATGGGTAAATCTATTTATTTATTWTTGTTAGTAATTAGCCTCCTGCAACAGAATTTCAAATCAACAGACAGAGTGCCAGGAAAAGGGCTTTCCTGTTAATCATCCAACTCTTCACAYGCTGGGTGAGACCGGGGACARGCGCTGTAGTCCACTTCCACAGGCAAAGAAGTGTGCACATTCAGGTTCCCGATTTTCAGTTCAGAAGCCCTTAATTAAGCCAAATTGTTTCCACCCGGCATTGTTGCACTCCTCAAAGCRGCCTTTCACAGCCACATAATCCACCTCACGAAAAAGGAACCCATTCTGCTCCACTGCCAATACCACAGATGGAATAATTTGGCTTCAGAGTTTTCACATGCTGAGACCAGATATTAAATAGAAGAAATACGGAATGGCTCAACACTCAGATTACATTCCCGCTTCTCACATCATCCTTCCCATAAATCTAAAACACAGGAACTCAGGAGGGATAAAGACGCCACACCACTGAACAAAGACACGTAAACCCTGGGAAGCTCATCTGCAGTTGCACAGAGCATTAACTGAATGGCAGTAACTGACTGAAGACAAGAAAGAAAATCAGACACAGAAAACAACAACCTAATTCTGAAAGGGCTTTAACATTCTTCAGTACAAACTTAGTAGAGGATTACTACTATTTTTTTAATAGTAAGTTTTACTGATTCATTGCTTGTTTTGCAAGCACAAGAACAACCTTAACTTGACTGGCTCTCAGGGCACTTGGCTATCTGAAAAAAAAACCTTGCAAGAATATTTCAAGATGACACCCTCAGAATTAGCACCAACAATTCTTTGAAGGCACAAGAAAGGCAACAGCACTGAGTGT